AAAAAAAAAAAAAAAAAAAACAAAACCTATACCTCAGCCCTTACCCCCATCAAATTCAGAAACGTCTTTTGAAACTACTGACATTCTAGAAGATGTTGCTCATGTATGCAAGGTACTCAAACGGTAAAGGACACAACTTGGTTTTCATTATTCGATTAGTAAAGCGAGATCACCAACTAGCGCTTCTTTCATCGGTACAATGATATATGACTTATTATTACTGATTCACTAAATACCAGTATTAAAATACTTTTTTTTTTTTTCCTCCCCCTTCTTATGCAACACACGTCAATGTTTATTTTGCCACTTTTGTTCATCATTTCCATATTATCGGCAGGTAGCAAACAGAACACTTACCTGTGACCAGGATGATAAATGACAGTAGTTATTCCATGGGCATAATGGCTGCTAAAGCTGAAACTATGACTTTCTTGAAAGCTTTGATTTGTTCCAACACTAAGTATGGGGGGAAAAAAATACATATATTATTTCAGATTTATTTTCTTTAAACAGTGGAAAGAATTCCTTTGAAGTTCACGGTGCCCTCTCAAAGCAAGTCAAAAATTTATGCTTACCTTACAAGATAACTTCTCAGTTCTCCACGATAATTAACAACAAGCAGTTCGGCTGACCATTGGGCACTTGCTTTGTATTCTAGAAAGATCAATCCAGCAATAGCATAACTCAGATCCCCTGGAAAACTTGCTGTCTTTACCCAAAAATGCACACAGACATTGAGAGAAAGGGGATTAAAAAAAAAAAGAGAAAGTGTCTTGGTTATTGAAAGAACTAGGAAGTTAAAATTTATTATATTATATAAAAATATTAAAAAAATAAAGTTTCATTAGTTTGTACTAGTAACAAAATACACTTCTTTTTACCCTGATTTTAAAGAAATCTTAAAGTCTGCAAAGACAATATACTAAGGAAACACTTGAGCCACCTCCCCAAATTAGTTTCATACAACCTTTGAATATGCAAAATATAAAATATATTATGCGGGGCAAGCCAACAGCAATTATCTATTCTCATACCAAGAAAAAAAAAATCCTCATATTGCTCTTTCAGTGATGTTTCTTGATTTATAAGTGACTCTGCATATAGAATGCAGATTTGTCATCCACTAGTACAAATTGTCATTATTTGCACGCAAAGTAGGTAATTCTATACTTTCACAATCTGATGTACCTGCAGATCTACCACAATTCTAAGAAAAAGAGAAGAAAGATGAAGTTTCTGACTAGATACAACAGCACAAAATATATGCTTTGCAAGTGCTACACAGGACTTTAACTATAAGTTTAGTTATAGTTTAACTATAATATACCCATCATATGATAAATACTTCATGGTACATTTGTGCATGGTATTCATACTGTAAGCCTTTATACCAAAGTAAGCCATGATTAAAAAAAGGCCGAAGAGTGGAAATTACCTTTTACCCTTACAAAAAGTTCTACTATATTCATATTTAATCTAAGAGAGCACTTACTGGTGAAATGACCAAAAGCTCGCTACCCATTAGGTCAAACACTCTCACTGTTCCAGTGCTTTCAGCATAAGCAAGTAACGTACAATCATGACTCCATGCCACTCGCCTCCACTGAGGGTTAGGATCCTTTGGCACTATGAAAAAGGAAGAAAGTTATTAAAAAGTGAAATATAAATATAATCCCTTAAACACAACACTAAGTCAACTGCATCAAAAAATGCAGGGTGCCTACTATCATTACAAGCTTATCTTGGAGGAGAAAAAAAACCACCACCTCCAATACCTGCTATGTCTCCTAAACCCATTCATTTTAACTATCATGTCATTTCAGGTCTTATATGTTAATCATCATGAAAAGAAGAGGGGGGAGGGAGGGTAATGGAACTATTCACAAAGCAAAATTATTAAGAGATTCTTCCCAACGCCTTTAAGAAGTTACAACATTATCTTTAAAGTATACCGACACTACCACTTAGCAATGCATGAGTAATAAACAATGATGACATTACGTAATGAGGTAGAGGTTGCCATATTGTATACCTTGACATTTTCCAACTATGGATCCAAAGTCATCTTTTGCAGACCTGCAGAAAAAGACTCATATGGATTTAAATAAGAAAAAACACACTATTCAATTTTCCAGAAGAAGTAGAATACTATAAAAATACTTTAGGTGCACAATTCAAAGGCCTGCATGTATTTAACTACTTTTTTAAAAAGGTATATAGTAGCCTTCACCCTTAGGCAGCTACAGGAACTAACAATAGTATTTTAGAAACCCTCCTCCCAAAGCATAAATACTAATATCCCTCATTTAGTAGTAATGCCGTTCAAAGTAGAATAGCAGCATTTCAGAACTTCAGCATGTAACTTTAGGAAAAAAAAAACTAGTCAGTATTCTCTAAGTTACAATTTTAGAAACAATGCAAGAATATAGTTACATTAATACAGTTGAAACACAAGATTTATTTTATAGTCTCTAAGCTGACATTTATGGTGTTCACACCACTTCTGATTGAACCATTTTCATACACTTGCTTCTTTTACATATAAATAGAAGGTCTGACCTTCTAGCAAATGGATTTTTGTGAAGCAAGTAAACACACTCAATCAAGATCCGTTCTACAGCTAAATGCATTCTTGAACTGGCAAAGGAGAACTTGTTAGAGAGCAGAAGAAAAAGGGAAAGCATCAGTCTTTACAGCAATCCACATTACTTGTAAAATACAGTGAAGTATCATACATGCCAGCTACTCTACAGAGAAGCAGAATACTAGCTCCTTGTCCCATTTACTAGGAAAGAATTTCTATTCTCTTGTGATGACTTTGAAGGGGAACAGAAAGGCAAAGGTTAGAAAGACCATGATTTGGGTTTAGTATTTTGAAGCATCTTGATTGTTTTTCTTTCACATCTTGAAAAAAGAAAGAGAGAGATACAGATAGATACTTATATAAATTTATCCATAACATTATGTTGTGGTTTAACCTCAGCCGGCAACTGAGCACCACACAACCGCTCGCTCACTCCCCCCCACGCCGGTGGGATGGAAGAGAGAATCAGAAGGACAAAAGTGAGAAAATTCGTGGGTTGAGATAAAAACAGTTTAATAACTGAAATAAAATAATAAAATAGTAAAATAATATAATAATAATAATAATAATAATAGAATATACAAAGCAAGTGATGC